TCTAAATACCAGGAATGTAAAATAAACAGCACAACATATACACGGAAAAATCAAATAAGGAAGAAAGCAAATGGCAGGACTTCCCTGGTCGTCCAGTGGCTAAGACTCCGTGCTCCCAACACAGGGAGCCCGGGTTGCATCCCTGGTCAGGGAACTAGATCCCACATGTCAAGAGGAAGGTCCCGCACGTGGCAAGGAAGATCCAGCGCAGCCAAATAAATAAATAAATATTAGAAACAAAAAAGAAAGAAAGAAAAAGCAAATGGCAAATGCTAGAAGAGACGTAAATGGCAATGGGATACCTGAATGACTAGTAGTAGTTGAACACAGGCACTCTTTGGGGAGCTAATGTTCCAGCCGAGCCCTTGACAAGGCTGATCAAAAACGTTGCTTGACATAACCGATGCTGGATTGACTTAGGACAGCGAGACCGTTTATTTGTGAGAACTTCTAGCACTATAACTTGTTTGCTCTGCGTCCGTCCTGGATCCCCACCCCTCCTCCATGTGCCTGACAACAAACATTTCCTGCCTGCTCTTTTCCTGTTATTTCAATTATTTATTTTTTTTTAGAAGATGTTGGGGGTAGGAATTTATTAATTTATTTATTTTTGCTGTGTTGGGTCTTCATTTCTGTGCGAGGGCTTTCTCTAGTTGCAGCAAACGGGGGCCACTCTTCATCGCGGTGAGCAGGCCTCTCACTATCGCGGCCTCTCTTGTTGCGGAGCACAGGCTCCAGACGTGCAGGCTCAGTAGTTTTGGCTCACGGGCCTAGTTGCTCCGCGGCACGCGGGATCCTCCCAGACCAGGGCTCGAACTCGTGTCCCCTGCATTAGCAGGCAGATTCTCAACCACTGCGCCACTAGGGAAGCCCTATTGCAATTATTTAAAGCAGTTTGTTAAGTTTCAAGACAGTTCCCCACTCCTCCACCATCATGCACTTGCCCCCCTGCCCTCACCCATACTATCACCCCAGCCCCACCCACAAAGCAGTTTTTAACAAGTCCCTCCTTCCCTCCCCAGCCACTGGCCGCAGCATATCAGAGCTTTGTTCCTCCATTCCTTCCCTGAAACAATTCTGGCTAACACTAGGCGTTTCCCCCTGCTGCAATAGTCCCTCTTAATAAAGTCATTCCTTACTGAAAAAATAAAAGTAAATAAATAAAATCATTTACTACTTACACATTTAATTGAATACCAGTTTTGACTTATAATAAATATTGAAATGAAGTCTTAAAGGTATTGGATGATGGAAGCTTTAAAAACATCTTTGTTAATGGTGGATTCTTTCTCAAAAAGAAGAATAGTGCTTATTTTTAAAAGCCTTGCTATGGCCTTTACTTAGTATGAATTAGGTGACTTGGGAAAAACTAGTTCTCTGATAATAACTGCATTTACTTAAAAATTGTTCAAATGAAGTTAAATTATAAAATGATTATTTTTAAAGACAATGAAAAAAGCCTTTTAGAGGTTTTTCTACACCCAGATGTCTACAAATTGCTTGTATGTAATATCCAGTTTTAAAGCTCTGAATGAATATGGATGGAGGGCAGTGTGCAAACTGCCCAGATCTCATATTATCTTAATGACTCAGCAGCAATTCTCACCCACCTCACTGTCCTGTACTTTCTGAAACACCACTTTGATGTTCACCATTCTCCATATAGAGACAAGGGACCCCACATAAGAAATTTCAGCATAGACATTCTTTTGACTAATACCCACCACTGAAATGACTGTATTTTTAACTTAAGAACAAAATGATGGGTAGTTTTGGTGATGGGGTCAAAGAAACACCGTTATTTTTCTTAGACCAGTGGTTCTCAACTCATGCTGCATATTAATATCACCTGGGAAGCTTTAAAACATGCCAATCTCCAAGTCTAACCCCAGGCCAATTAAGTCAGTCCGTGGGCTTTGGAATTGATGTTTTTAAGCCAGAGTGATACTAACGGGCAATCAGAGTTGAGATGCATTTATTTAAACCAATAGTCCTCACCTGGGTCAGGGTGCGCATTGTAATCACTAGATGGTATCTTCCAGAACACCCGGAATGTGGGGCGGGAGGGTCGGGGACAGTATTTTCAACAGTCCCGGCAGATTGTATTGCCATTCTTGTTTATCCAAAGTAGAATCTGAATGACATATCTATGTGTATTTTTATAGAACTCACCACATGATTCTGATGTGCCCTTCACTCACATTTGAGAATCACATACTGGGGTTATTTGTCCAAGCACACATGTATTAATAGAGTCAAAGCAGCAAATTAAGTGGTTCTAAGAGCTGCAGTTGTATCTGGCAGACTAATCCTGAACTCAACATTTCTGAAATGTGCCAGGGGATACGCCCAAATTCTTATTCGTAACTGGGAGATGTGCTACACTAACATGTTTCTCAAGGTGTTTTCTTTAGAACAAAATCTTGTGGAGAGATAATGGTTATGTCTTTCCCGAAAAAAATACACGTTTGGAGGGGCGGGGGCAGTTCTTTGATCTAATAAGGTTGGGAGATGCGGTTTCAAGTAGTACTAAATAGATTTCTTTAAAGCATAATTTATGAGAGCCTTGAATGTACTGCTATACACTGGGAATTTTCTAGAGCAGTACTCCTCAAACTTAATGTACATACAAACCTATCTGGTGGCATAGTAGAAAGAATGCTTGTTAGGAATCTTGCCACTGGTAATAATTAGTCAAAACAGAAAAGAAGGGGTCATGAAAGAAACTAGTATTTCTTGATTGACTACCATTAAATAATTTAATGTGGTTAACACATCTATGAGATAGGTGATGTTTTCCTATTTTACAGGTGAGGAAACTGAGGTTGAAAGAGATGAAATAAGTTGCCCCAAATCATAGAATTATTAAACTCAAGCTATGATTCTGAATCCAGGTTCATCTTATTTCCAAACCTGTGCTCTTTTCACCAAATCTTCTTTTATCCCTTCCCCTTCCTTTTTAAAATAAGGTATACTTTTCATATAGTAAAATGAATAAATCCTAAGTGTATAGCTTGGAAATTTTTAATATATATTTATACTCAAGTAACCATCACTCAGAGCAAATTAGTATATTTCCATTCCCCAGAAAATTTCTTCATACTTGTTCCCAGATAATGATCCCCCGTCCCAGAGGAAGCTCTATCCTGATTTCTATCATCATTGGTTAGTTTTTGCCTATTCTTGGACTTCATACAAATGGAAATATACTTTTATGTACTCATTTATGCCTGTCTTCTTTCACTAAATACAACCGTTTTGAGATTCATCCATATCGTTGTGTGTATATGTGGTTTGTTAATTCTTTCTCCTATTGGTAGACATTTACACTGTTGCCAGTTTTTTGCCTATGCTGAATAGAGTCTCTGAATATTCTTGTACAATTTTTTAAAGATATAAACACTCATTCCTTTGGGAGGTCTACATAGCAATGGAGTTGCTGTATCATAGAGTAGGCATGTATCAAGCTTTATTAAAACCTCTCAAGCACCAAAAGTAGGGGTGCCAGTTTACAAAGTCTTTGTACCATCAGCAATGAATGGCAGCTCCAATTATTCTACTTTTTGCCTCCTCTTATTTCTTGACTGTCTTTTTATCCATTTCTTCCTAGATATGCAAAATCAAGAAAAATGTAATCCTTCTAAAAGGCTATCTTGGAATAGTGTGCAAAATTAATGGAAAAGGGCTTCCCTGGTGGCGCAGTGGTTGGGAGTCTGCCTGCCGATGCAGGGGACACGAGTTCGTGCCCCGGTCCGGGAAGATCCCACATGCCGCTGGGCCCGTGAGCCATGGCCGCTGAGCCTGTGCATCCAGAGCCTGTGCTCCGCAACGGGAGAGGCCACAACAGTGAGAGGCCACATACCGCAAAAAAAAAAAAAAAATTAATGGAAAAAAAAATTCCCTTGACAACTGGATGGGGGCCCACCCTACCCAATTTTAATAGGGTGATCTTTCAAACAGTGAAATGACCATCATAGAACCCAGAATAAGGGCCGAACATGGCTATTGACAAGGAAAAGACAAAAAGGAATATGAACAGAAAAGATGCCTTAGAAGGAAAAGGAGGAATAAGCAGGGGAAAGCAGGAGGCTTCAAAGACAAATGCAAATGTGGATAGAACAATAAAGGCAGGTTGCAAGGTGACTGGGATCCAGAGTAGGTGAATGCCTGAAAGCCTTGATTGGCAGGGCAGACACTGAACAAAGAAAGAGTGGCTGCCAGGGAGCAGTCAGGAATTGTCTACTCTGAATGGGTTCTGTTTAAAAATCAACATGGAATCATACTTTTATATAAGTTTTTCCTAAGAAAAATCACATTTCCCTCCCTAACTTACTAAGAGACTAATGTGATTTTTAGCCCTCGCTTTTGTTCATCAATCACTCTCTTTCATTCATCAACCTGGATTGGTGCAGGTGCATAATTTACTCGGTCCTTTTCCCCTATGTGTGCTGAACTCAGATGCAGCCTCATTTTGGTTTTGCCTCCTGCAGTGTTACCTCAGTGCTGTGGCGTCTCTTTATGTAACATGCTTCTGTTTCTAGGCCAAACATTCAACAACTTCCCTCAGTCAATTCCAAGAGCTCAGCGGTATCATCTAAATTTGGAGCTCTAAACCAGTCTCCCCAGGCTAAAATTAATCACAAATCCCCAAAAAAGCATTTTAAAGACACTCACAGCTTCAGCCTAAAAGTAGCTCTTTGAATGACTAAAAAATAAATAATACTCAGCTGTACTTATTGATTCCTATTCTTGTCTATTGGCTCAATTTGGTCATGGTTATTGGTATGGTTAGGCCATTCAAGATGGCTGTTCTCTTGCTCTCCATCCTCTGCTCAACCAGGACCTGCTTCACTCACATGACTATCCAATTCTCTTAATTACAGGGTTTAATCAGAACTGCTTTCGTGCTTGCCCCCCGCCCAGTTGCTGGTTTCCCCGGTAACTTATGAGCCAACCTGAAGTCAATTCCCCCTATAAATGGTACCCTTCTTCTCCTTCAGGTAGCCAAGTTTTTTCCTGTGTCCTGCCTGCTGTCTGCTAAACATCGTGGCTCCAGGACTTCTGACTTGTAAGTTTCTCTATCCAATAAGTCCTTGTTGTCCCTGTCACTGCTTTGGGCTCTTTCTTTGGTCTTGCCGCTGGGCAATTACAAGCCTGCAGGCCTGAGGGGTGCAGCCCAACAATGTTATTTTACACTTGTGGAAAGTTTGCTGTATATGGTGATATGGAATTTAGACCCAGCTTGCTATGCTCAGCTCTCCCATTTGCCCAAGGAATTCTTAAAAACCCATTTATGAGACTAGAGCCTAATGGGCAACAACTGTACTAAACTTTTTCTAGCCACCACCACGTTAGAAGTGATCATTCATGTAAGGGTACATAGAAAGAAGTAGGCCTTGCCGTCTGAATATCCTTCTTAGAGTACTTACCATTTGGAGATGCATGACCAAAAAATACAACTGATTGGCCAATAGCAGGGTGATTTATTTAATCTGTTCATCTCTCTTATGTTTTATGCATTGCTGAGTAGCAAACTTCAGATGGACATGTGAAATACATGAAGCATTATAAACCAATGGCCCAGAGTATGTATGATTGTTTAGTTCTAGGTTGCTATCCATATCAGGTAATTAAACATTTTTCAAAGGACTGATTTTTGAAAAGCATGTTTTAAATCAGAAGCCTATCTTGCTCAAAGTTGCTAAATTTTGGACTTATTTTCATTAAAATTTATACAGGGTTTCTGTCTCTTTAGATATTGCATAATTGTTTAAAATTAACCCAATCAGAACAGAAAGCAGGTGATAGGTTTTACTGGTTCTGTGGAGATTAAAATAAGAAGTTTACCAACTGTTTTTTTTTCTTTCGTCAAATATCAACCAAGGGTAAATAAAAAAGGAAATAACGTAGGAAAGCTATATGTGGCATATAAATGTATGACAAAGGATATCAACAAAATTTTGGAAAAGTCATCTAAATTTTTTATAGTTCTAAAAAATATCCAACTATTCTAAAAGGAAAAATAAAAACAATATAAAGACAGTAATGGAGAAAGCAGCGCCTGCTTTTTTACATAAGAACAATCCCCACAGTTTCATAAACTATACACTGGAGTCACAGTCCTCACATTCTATGTATTTTAGTTTTATATTTAAAAACTCACTTATATAAGAACTAAGAAAAGATCAATTATCACCCACTGCATAATACCTTAAAAATTCTACAATACATCTTTACCTTTTCACTTTGGCATTGTATGTCCACTTGTTAACAATTTATGACTACCAATTAATATATGATGCAAGAAATGCACATACTGTCAGAATTGCTGACTTTATAACTTTTTTCTCTACAATTTTCTATTTGAAATAAGTGAATCAAAGACCTTTTTCTTTTTTATCCTATTGTTTTTTCTCTAAAAGCCACTCAGCTCTTAATAAAAAGAAATAGTAAGTACTAGCTGTAAAATAATCTGTCAATCAATCAGGCACTTACACTTTGGGCAGACCACTCATGGAGCTTTAGAAAATACTTTTAAAAAACACAAATAAAGGAAAATCACAATTAAATGTGGATTGGAAAATTCCATTTTATATTGATTTTATTACTAGAATTTGGAAAGAAGCCTTTTGACTGTATTAAGCTAATGTTGTAATGGGTGAAATGAAAGAGACAATTTAGAACCTTGGGCAGTTGATCATGGAAAAATTGTTCCCCCTGAGCCCTTCATTCAAGTACCTGGGAGAAGGAGAGCATCCCCTTCTACTTAATTGGTCCCTGTAAATCTCTTGGTTAGTTTTTGGTGTTTTACTGTATTGTCTATAATGGGGAAGATGAGATGAGGAAGTCAAATCCCCAGGAATGAAATAGAAGGTGCTATGCTACCTGCCTTCTTTTGTGAAGCTAATTGCAAATAATAATGACTTGTGTAAAGATTTTAGATCATCTGGTATGTACCATAAAATATTTCAAAATTCTATCCTGCTTTTCCTTTTTAAGATAAAGTTGGTGGATATAAGTAAACTTTCAGGTTTTTCAAGAAATTTTTTAGGGAGGCTACTCTACCTTCTAACAGCATGGTCTCTAAAATTGTGTGCGTCAAATAACATCCTCAAACACTGCATTTTAATCTAACTACCAGAAATATTTGCCCAAATAATTTGTGTTTGCAAATTTAGAGCCTGGGTTAAGACCATTTGCAAAAATTGGCCCTGGAAATGTCAAGTACACAGAGCCTTTATATAGCATCATAAATATTAAAAGGTAGAAAACCTAGATCATTAAGTTCCAGAGAAGTAATACACCATATGTACCCATCTGACACTCAGAAGAACAAGAAGCTTCAAATCTTTGGGGGAGGGAGTCCTTAGAGCTTCAACTTTAAAATTCCCCACCTTAAGCACAATTTATAACATGCTGTCACACATTCATGGGTTCAAAGATAAATCAAGTGCATTTTTTTCCTTTTTAAAAATGGATATTTTGCTTTCCATTGGCCTGTTGCCATGTTTAATTGGACACAGCCTGAAAGGGAGGCTGATCTCCGGGGGTCCCTCGTTTTGGCCTGTGAGGAATGGGTGTGATAAGTGTTTACAGTACAGTTCTGACTGCAGCGAGTCCAAATGGCCATTGCTTCCTATTACCTAGTTTAAAAATATACAGTTGAGAGGTAAAACCTGGATAGTCTGAGGTGCTTGGAAAAGGAGAAAATTGGGTTTCATGACATTTTTGCAGCAAACAGGATTCAGAACATAATGGTTAACAGCAACTAACCCATAAGATTCTAGATGAGACTCAAATTCTAGATTCTATATGAGAAAGAGCAGTTTTGCTGAACAATTTCAGAAAGAAAAATCCCATAGGCCTCTTTTTTACTTAAGGGTAAATTTAAAAAATAATGAGATAGTATTCTTAATAGCATGCCTTAGAGTTAACAAAATGTTTTCCCACAAACTATCTAAACTTGATCTTTATAACATAGTGGATGGTTTGCTTTATTATTCTTATTTGCACATTGAGAACACTGGAAGCCAAAGAACTAAAGTATTTCACAAAATACTATGCCATTAATAAGTTACATGTTCATTATTCTAACACATGAGATTTAATTCCAAAGTTTAGGACATACTAAGTACCTAAAACTATTTTAATTTATTTTAATTATGAAAACTGTCTCCAAGTATATTGGAAACTATTGGAAATCTCACAAGCTTGTGTAAAAGGGAAGTTTATATTTTTAGACTTTATTGTTTCTGACCAAATAAACAGTGATACAGCTTTTTAGATTCTGACTTTATTTTTCGAATCGCTTTTACTTATGCAATGTTTTATATTTCGATGCGACCACAAGGTGGGGAGGGTTCACTGTGTGAACTTAAATTTCTCCATCAGTTATTTTCTATGGTTTCTTAACAATGGAATGGGGCTATTCTTCTTCAACTTGAGAATTTAAAACTTGTTGGTGTGGTATTATTTGGGCTACATTATGACCTGGGCATAAAATATGCCATTCCTGGTGTACCCGGTTGAGTAACATTATCTGAATGCAATTCAAGACTAAGAAATAGATCAAGGGATAATTGTTCAAAGGTGGCTTTGCACTTAATTCTTTCTGGGACTATTAGGGTCAAACTCTCTGATCTACTGATCTGACTCTCTGATTCTGATCACTGGCTTGACTGTAAGCTTGGCTGCAATGTCCTATCACATCTTAATTTAAAAAATAAAAATAAAAAGATTTGGGAATTTAAGGAGGGAATGAGTCCAGGATTCCACCTTTCATCCTATACCTCTGTATTAGTTTGCTAGGGCTGTCATAATGAAGCACCACAGACTTAGCTTAAATAACAAGTTTATTTTCTCATAATACTGGAGGCTAGAAATCTGAGGTAAGGTGCCGGCAAGGTTGGGGCTTTTTTGAGGCTTTTTCCCTTTCCTTGCAGATTAATGTCTTCTCCCCATGTGTGTTGGTGTTCTAATCCCCTCTTCTTATAAGTACACCAGTCCTATGGATTAGGGCTCACCCTCTGAAGACCCCATCTCTAAATACAGTCATGTTGTGAGGTACTGGGGGTTAGGACTTCAGCATATGAACTTTGAGAGGACATGATTAGCCCATAACAACCTCTCTCTTCTTCACCATCACTTCCTGTGAAGGAAGAGTTGCTTACCTGGTTGCTCAGCTCTGACACTGGTGAAACCACTTTGCTAGGTGGCATCAGAGGGTGGTAGGAGGCCATGCTTGTGGGTGTGGTTCTTCAGCATCTTCTCTACTTTCTCTCTTGTACTCACACCAACAAAGTGGCATGACCCTAAAGTGCTTCTTTTTCTGATTCCTCCTGTGTGGTCAGAGAAGAAAAGGACAAAAGAAAGAAAATAACATTATAATGTTCCACGTTGCCAAGCAAAAATCACAAAATCTAAGCTTTTGTTAAAAATATGTCCACATTAAAAAAAAAAAAAAAAATAAACCTCTCAGCTTCACGTACCCCCTCTAGCTTCTGTGATGGCTCTCCCTGTCACGTCCCAGACACAATTCTGATGTCTCCACTTTTTTACCTCTCCTTCGTTCTTCCTGGTACTGCATCTGGTTCACTCTTCCATCAGTTCAATAACACTGTTCTCTTGAAGATCACCACAGAGTTCTCTAAAACCACATCCAGCCCACAATCTTCTTATCTTCCTCATTGAACTTCACATTGCAGTCTTTTCCTTCTCCAATCCATTCTCAAATCCACTTTGTAGCTCCATATAGTTTTGAGATTTCTGTAACTTCCTGGTGGGTTTTTAAAAATTATTATATGTTGACATTTTATGTTGTCTTTTTCCTTAAATTCTACTTTGCCAGATGTCAAAATGACTAAACCAGTTTATTTAGCTATTGTTTGGCTGGCATATATTTTCCCAAGACTTTAATATAAATTGTTCTCTATGGTTTTGTTTAACATTCCTTTGAAGATAATCCCTCTTTTTTTCTCTAGGTGATTTTTTTTTTTTTTTTTTTTTTTTTTTTTGTGGTATGCGGGCCTCTCACTGTTGTGGCCTCTCCCGTTGCGGAGCGCAGGCTCC